AGGTATGAACTCAGTTGGGTATAATTCATTAGGAAGATGTCATTAGTAAATATAAGTTTCTAGTAACTCTCTTCCAAACTATTTCTCCTTTAATACCACTGACAATACGAATTTTGAATCAACGTAAAGCATAATGACAGATTTGAATGCTCCTATTAGGAACCTCTCCGCTGTTTTAGTTTTTTTCAAATTATTCATTTTCTATCAGAGCTGTTCTGCAACAAATTTCTGCTGTTTTGTAGGAAATATTTAAGAGGCTCATCGCGTATATAATTTTTTTGGCCACCTTCTCTGTAGTGACGTTCTTCTCAAATCCATAAATCAAGGAGCTTTTAGTCAGAGACAATGTTTTCGGTTGTAGACGTATGCCAAGAATTTGCTGAATATAGATTAATGATTGACCTTTGACCTTTGCATGCTTTTTAAATAAAAAAACTCCTTAAACCCGACGGTAAGATAGTAGAAAAAGCATTAGAAAACATTTTCTGATAGTATACTGAGCAAAATCAAGCTTTATGAAGGAATTTTCTGATGAACGAAGTTTCTAGACGATCTTTTTTTGCAGGAAAATGCTTGCCCTACAGGATTCTTCTGCCAATTTTCAGCCAAACTTACACAGTTCCAGTGCTGCGGTCAAAGTGGAGGTAATCTTTGAGCTTTTCATCCATTTCCTTTACACTTTATAGCACTGTACTGTAATTACGGTGCATTTGTATACTTTGCTAATTTCTATGAATTTTCAAGTTATAGGTTGCCCAGCTCGTCGAGCGGCATTTATAGCTATCGATGGTAACGCTCAGGAATGTATTCCTGGACCAGATATGTGTGCAGATGGTTTTGAATGTGTTCGTAGTGCTTATATTGGAAAGAATATCTGCTGTAGCAAGGAGGACAATGGTAATTGCAGTTTTGATCAGTCATTCAGGGCAAATAATCTTGATTTTGAAAAAATTGTCAGGCAAAAGATTCATGAACATTTAACTCACGTTAATCACGGTTGCGTTAAATCGTTCAAGAATCAAATCGAAAATATTTCGAAAAGTTAAATAAATCCCTTGCGTTGTGTTTTTACCAGGTTCAAATTGAAAGTGAATATTTAGAATGTGGCGAGAATGAAAAA